GGAGTTTTTTTCAGTTCATTTGATGCGGAAGTGGTAGTAGAGCACTCCTATGATGACGCAGCTTTCGAGCATAAAAAGCGAAAATTCGTTAGAGGAGAAGCAGCCGGTGGGCGCAGCCTGTAGGCAGGGGAGCAGCACTTCTACAAAGTGCGGCTTGCAATTCTTTTCAAGTGCGTTCCCAACCGGACATTGCCTTGTTCCACGAATGAGATGTGATAAATGTGTATTTGTTGAATGGTATTTGAACTGTTCAAAAATGCTCATTCGAGCGGAGATGGTGTGGTGACAGGAGGGGCCACTGCCGCGCATATGGTCTCTGGATCGAATCCCAGCTCAAACCCAGCGCGCGTCAGCCAAATTTCTACAGATGATTAGTTGTTGCTAGGAGCGACTGTTACTACACAAAACACATCTGATAACTTGATAACTTTTTTTAAAAAAGTCGTAGTCTAAGGGTTAACAGGCAGTAAGGAGGCGCGATGCGTAGCAGGCGGTTATATGCTTCGTTTTCGCGGCTTGTATCCAAGGATGCAACATATTTGATTCTCCTCTTTCTTTCTCTTTGGTTTTACTTTCTTGAGGACCTTGGCCTGAAGCAGACAGTTATACCTTCACTGCACAAAAAAAGCAAGATGAAGGGAAATTGTTAGGAATCCCTCTCATGGAGATGTCTTTTACCGATCACACGCACGTGGACGGATGCGATTCCGAAGTGAAGCGCTGAGTCCCCTGAAACGTCTTCATGAATGCTGCTGAAGAGCTCTCGACTTTGTTCTCGTTCCAGGAAAAACACGTATGGTATGTTGGATCGTTTCAAACTGCTTCACAAACAATCATCGAATGGAGTACGCACGGCGTCTTTCACAGTATATCCAGGTTAATATGCTCAAGCTTCAATTGACATACTTTGCTTAAAAGACAGAGAAATTCAATTGTAACGACTGTGAATCATATCACATCAAATTACCTGTTATTGCTAGCTGCATATGATCAACTGACCCTACGTTTGTGTGTGGTTAGGTTTGGTAGGGAGAAGGACGAGAAGAGTACTACAGCTGCATATGGAACAGGGCACTAGAAGGTACATTCTAGACAGGTGGACCAAGCCTTACGTGAGTATGTAGACTAGAGCTATACCTTGGAAGGAGGAGGATGAGCCATTCATACAAGTACATTCATACATTCTCACAAGTTTGGATCAGCGAGGCATGTTTGAAATGGAGGGAGTCTGCTGGGATCCTCCGCGATCGAAAATGCTCCAGAACGTTTGAAGGGAAGGCCTACAGGATAAGGTCTACAATGTTGTATGGCAGCGAGTGACATATGGTAAGAAGACCACAAGATCATTCGATAATAAAAGCATTGGAGTTAGCATTGGACCGGAGTACAGGCATGTGACCAAGAGGAGACCGAGGAACGTCATTAAGAAGGACCTCAGTGAAGTCAGAGCCACGGCAGTTCCTAAGGCAGGACCAAGCGGCGACCTCATACGGAAACAACAGACTCCGACTATAGGGAGAGTAAGGCCACCAGTCGAACTCTGTAGTGGTGAGAAACACAATGATCACAACATCTACATTTCGTGACAGAAAAGCAAAGGAACAAAGGTTCGAGCAGACAATCAGACAAAGCCCGTCGCAGTAAGCTGAATAGTTTTCTAGAAAAAATGCTTACTTTTCTAGCCATATTTGAAAAGTGTTAGGTAGCAACAGTAATTGCGGATTCGACCCTTTTCAAAAACTCACATTTTTGTTGAAATTGAACTTTATTCCGAATAATGTTTCCCGCAATTATCTACAGCAGTATAGTTAAAGTAAATTTGAAGGGAAACGGTAAGAACTTTATCAACAACCTATTAGCGGTATGCTTAGTAAAGGTCATGTGTAAGTGGAGGGCACATCAATGAGAATTCAGTCTTAATGGAAAAGAGAAGTTAGAGCTAGTTGTCGGTTTGGTCAATTTTCGTCGGCTTCCCATTTCGCAGGCCTAAAATTTGAAAACCCTGGAACAGAGTGGAAGAAACATAGCATTTGTAGAGCAGACAATTCTCTTTCGAATGGTATATAACTCGATGTAAAAGCATGGATTTAGAGAAAATTTTTTGGTTGAAAAAAAGCGACACTACTTATGGGACAACCTATCATATACCCAAAGCTTGTTTGTTCGTTTCTGAAGTCGTGTTAGTGTTTGTTGTTTCTGAAATTTTGTCGCTTGATAGTGTAGATTTGTGTCTTGTATTCAACGATTTCAGTATCAGTTTTAGGTTGACATTTTCGGTGCCTGTGGCAAGCGAAGCCTGAACAAAGTGGAGGCCCATCGTACGATACGGGAAAATTACAAATTCTACCTGGCCTTCGAAAACAGCAACTGCCATCAATACATCACCGAAAAGTTTTGGATAAATGCTCTAAGGTAGTGATATTGGAATAAAGCTCAGATCTGTCAAAACTGCCCATATGCCGAGACCTGGATGAGCTGGTGAACACTCTGGTTGTGGATGTGATCACTCTACTTCCTACTGAAAGTGTGATAGTGCGGCCAAGTTCATGAATGTAAAAACCCTCATAAGGTCTATACTATGGATTGTGGGACTAACTGGGTTAGGTTAGGTTACCGGTTTTTCTTCATGGTTACAACATCCGATCGCGAAGGACTGGGTCATCTTGGGTGTAGTTGAAGCTCAAGCTGTTGGTGTTGCGTTTTATGTGATTGTTCTGAAAAGTGGTAGGGATATGTTGTCTTCCAGGAACGATGCCATCCCGATTGTCATGGGTGCTCCCAAAGCCGACTACATAAAAGTGGCACCACCTAATTCATTCATTCATGTCGATGACTACACTCCAGAGCAGCTGTCTCGGTAGGCAACTAATGACACAACGACGCCATGTTTATGCAAAGGCGGAATGCTTTATGAACGGTTTTCCAAGTCCTTTATGACTAACCAGTGTTTAGGTACCTCCTCTACTTGGATAGGAATCGCACTGCCTACAATGAGTATTTTGTCTGGAAGGTTGGTGAGAATTTAACAATCTTTACAATTTTTCCACACATGAAAATAAAAATTCTCGCATCCAGTGTCTTCGACCTCCTTCTTGAAAGCCAGGGAGGCATTTTATGCAGTTAAAAGTGGCGGCCGTCAGCACGCGTTATATTCCAGACATTCTCACCTCGGCGGCTGAATTAGCCAGTCCTTCCATTTTCCCGATTAAGGTTCTTTGCTATGAAATCAGCTCGGGAGAAAGAAAAGGGTCGTACATCGGCTCGGGCTAAAACAGTCCTACCCTCTCCCAATGTAAATTACCCTGAAATCTCGTAGCACCTTGCAGAGGACGCTTTATGTGTAGTGTTTGCCGCGATAACTTTTTTTTATTTGTGGTTTATTAATTAGTTGTTTTTGCAATATTTATCTCTTTAGAATAAAGAAACTTGTTAGAATAATAGGGCGGAAGTGGTGTAGTGGCAAGTGGCACGCTTACCACGCGAGCGGTCCGGGGATCAAATCCTGGGTCGTGAGTCGCCCGGGCCAACCAAGCCTTCCATCCCTCCGGGGTCGGTTAATTGGTACCAGACTTGTCTGGGAGGATAAAAACACTGACTTGTACATCGGCTGGCCCCCGCAAGTCATTGTATAGGCCACATCGCATTCAAACGCCACTACGAATGTACAAATGGAAGTAGAATGCGTGCCGCATCCCAAAAAGGGATTGATCAACGGCAAATGCTTTATCCTTTTTTTGATTAGAATAACATGGCCAAGCAAAAAAAATGAGCGATCGACAAACGCATAGGTTCTCTTGGAAAAATGAAAGCGGACCTAAGTGCTCATATCTATGGAAGTTCAGAGCATGTATGTGCTGAAATGTTGAGAACTGATTATTTGCCTTGATGAAATTTGAAGCAAAGGCCTCTCAAAAACTAATGTGTACGTATATTATGTTTGACACGTTGCCATCACATGCCGACATCACAAGTTTTGGCATCTTTGCCCGCGTGGACAGTAGCAATTTTACGTGTGACTATCATGGTTTCAAAAGTCTTAAAGCCTACAGCAAAGGGAAAAGCTCTGAAATGGTCAGGGGGTCAAGTGTGCAGTACATAAACTGATCACGTCACGCCTCTCTTTTTTTCTGGAATTGTTGAGTTGTCCCTGAGCCTCATGCGTATCTTCTTTTCGAGCGATTTTGTTATGGAGGCTCCTTACACATAATACTTAGTGTTAGCTTTCGCTGTAGTAACAGCTTCTACTGACCTATAATACTTACAAAGCATATCTCAACAGTCGAAATCTTACGCAATGTTAAGAAAGTTCGGCAAACATCAACTGCCCAGGCCGGTTCTTTCAAGTAATTAGGAAATCTGCGGAACAATGTCTTACGACGGCAGGTAAGCTATGTACTAAAATAGTAACCTTAACCCAGTGCAGTCGCTAGCTAAATTAAAGCCATTAAGAAAGAACAGTGCGCGACTTTTCCACAGTACGTGCTTTCATGCTTTTAACGTCATCGCACGCTTTATCTAGCCAAGCAGCGTCTCCAACCATATCAGTGTCCTCCACCGCTCAAAGGGAGCTTCCTTGGAAAGGAAAAGTGTTAGAGGCACTCGCTATCAAGCGACTGTCTCCAGAAATAAACAAAAGAGAGGCGCTCGATGAGACTAATAAGTTAGCGGTGGATACAAGCACGTACTGTGAAAAAGTCACGTACTACTTTCTTAGTGACTTTTATTCAGCTAGCGACAGCACTGGGGTAAGGTGATTATCTTCTTGTGACATAATTGTGCTGAATTAGGACATAGCTTGATTTGCCGTCGTGAGACATTGTTTTGCTGATTTCTTCATTAGTTGAAACTATCGTCCTGGTCAGCTGATGTTTGCTGAACTTGTTGTTAGATTCTGACTGTTGAAATATGCTTTGTAAGTATTATGGATCTGAAGAAGCTGTTACTAAAGGGAAATTTGACCAACAAATATTGTATGGAATGAGTCCTCAACATCAAAATCCCTTCAATAGTAATTTTGTGTTGAGTAAACAGGCTGAATTTTCTCAAAACTGTCGCCAAAAAAAAACGTGTAATGACAAAGAAGAAGCAGAAACTATTTATTTTTGCCAAAATGGCGTAAAAAAGCACGAACCCTTGATTATTCCATTGAAAGCACGTCTCGTGCCATCCATATGAAGCTCTACCTACCCTAATTTCCGGTAGGTAAGCCCGCGCCGATATCACGTAAAACACCTCCCGCTCGTGCAGTGTAATTTTGTACACCTTAGAAACTACCGTAAATTTGCCTATAGAGGTAATCGATGCCCTGATTACGAAAATGACTTTCATTTTTAGCGGTGGCGCCATCTGGCGCCAGTTGGCGTCACCTTGTCACGACACCTGTTTTCACCAAATTTGGTGTAAACTTCCGTAGGGGTTATTTGGTGTCCTGATTACGAATATGACATTCATTCTCGGCGCTGGCGCTATTTGGCGCCTATTTTCTGCTCGTCTGCGCTCTCCAACCGAGAAATATGCGTTGAACAACGTTAATGCCAAAAACGAATGTCATATTCGTAATCAGGGCACCAAATAACCCCTATACAGAAGTTTACACCGATTTTGGTGAAAACAAGGGTCGTGACAAGGTGACGCCAACTGGCGCCAGATGGCGCCACCGCTAAAAATGAATGTCGTTTTCGTAATCAGCATATCGAATTACCCCTATGGGCAAGTTACGGTTGTCTCTAGATGTACGCAAGTGCACTGCACCAGCGGAGGTGTTTTTACATGATATTGGCGCGGGCTTATCTACCGGAAATTAGGGTACTTCTACCATAATCTTTCATATGAATGTTCATGACAACAACAGGAAAACTAGTACGGAATTGAGCAGATATTTTTTTAAGATTAAGGAACCTCCGCCTACTGCTTATTCCAGAAATATGGTCGAGTAGTACATTCCGATTTCTACTGCCGTTTGTGCGCTTTCGTTCAATCACCACCTACTAAAACCTACTCAAGTCTCGACGAATGGTGGCAAGATAGTGAAGACTGCGAGAAATATTCGCGTTGACAAACATCTGAAAGAATCTCGTTGTGTACATCGTTTTTGTTGTTTTATTTGTTATTTTTTGAATGGGTACAATTCATTCACCAAGATTATACCTTTTTGCATCGATTACTGGGTATGAAGCATTACATTCCTATGGTCTTTTATGTTTTCGTGCACTACCAACTGCCTCGTCAGGAAAAGCATCGATATTCAGAACTACATCCATACTCAGCACCAGATTGCCTGTTAAGAGCTGGCTGAGTGAACTCACAAAAAGGCTCATTTTCCACTTGAAAGCGTCGTTCACGATTGGGGTCTTCCCACGTTCGTTAGCAATATATCACGACTTCTGTCCCATCAAATTTGTGCTAAACCAACTTGCCCTAATCGAATAGCTGATGATGTTCTAGCAGATAAGCTTTCCTCAAGCAACTCTAGAATATTCCTTTTTATAAGGTGCATGGTAGGCATAAACGTCTACAAGTGCATTTTGTCTACTTCTTCAAGGAATGTTTCTCCGAATTTGAAGAAAAGTTCAGAGACGCCTAATCTGAAGAACGATTGCTCACATGCTCATCACGGTCAGTATTCTAGCACTTGGACAACAATGTGATATCAGTTCGCACCCATGTAGTCAATTTCTTTTTGCCCTATCTTTTCCGGACTTCTAGCATTTATTCTATGGGTCATACCTGAGTAACTGTACCGCATTGTGAACGGCCTGGACCACAGAATCTTCTACTTAAGTTCTGCATAAACATTCTCAGCACTTTTTCCATTTAAAGGCACAAGTAGCGATTATATTACAAGAGAAATTTGAATTTCCTTTGTGTGAGATAGCAGGACTTTATCACAGGAGTGGGGGTACTGTCGCGGCTTGGAAGGGTGCGACAATGGAGCTAATGCTTTTGCTTAAGCGCCGTGTCCGTTGTCATTTTTTTCAACCGCATCAAACCGCCGCTTGCATACGACGACTCTCTCGCGTTTTTCCTCTCCTCGCAATACAGACTCTTCGTCGTGCCTCGAAGGAAAAAATTTACTTTTTTGTGCCGATCTTTACAAATTCCTCACTCACTTCCGGTTCACAGTTCGTGCCAAATTTTTGAACAAAACATCACGCCTAATATATCCGTGCCTTTGAACAATGCGGACATAATAGTTTTACGTCTACACTACAGGTACCGATCAAGCCTTATTTTCAAGATGGTCATTAAAATTTTATTGGAACTCTTTTCCGCAGCTCCACAGTTTTTCGCCTCGAGTTACTCTCGATTTCTCTTCATCCGCTGCTTTTCATTACTATCCGAAACTCATAGTCTATTCTCATTTTCATGCGACCATGATGACAAGTGCTTGCTCATGCGGATTAACCCTTTGACGACAATGGCACCCACCGGTGGGTGCCACCTTAAAATTTCCTTCTTTGTGCATTTAAAACATTTGTAACACCCCAATAATTATAAGCAAGTTCCATAATATCTATGGCTAGCACGACTTACAGAAATGTTTACTAAGAGCTAATTTATATAGAATTTTAGAATGTGCCATTTAGCTCGCCAGCATATTAATTGGGGTTTTAAATTATTAGGCCGAAGATTAATTACTAATCAGGACTTCTTCGTCTTCTCATAGCCCTCAGATATGGGAAGGGGTTTGAAGTGTACCGAAAATTCTCTTGGACACTTAAACTTTTAAGGTTTTGCCCTCCTTCCCTTTGAAACGCGAGTTCCCCGTTCCAAATTTGGAATTCTCTTGAAAATAATTCACAGTATGAAAGCCCAGAACTGCAGTTATAACAGATAACTGTTAGAGTCGATGAGCGAGAGCTGGGCGCGCTAAAAATGGTCCCATGAGCAAGCTACGTGCAAATCCGCATTGTCGTCAAGTTAATATTTCTTCTACTTATAATCTACTTTCACTATATTTTCTGCACTTCTACATACACTGTCATGTGAACCAACAAGAATCGAAACAGGTCCGCTTAAATTTAGATACAAAACAAAAAAAACGCGCCTTGTGGCACAGCGAGACTCCAACAGGACCGGGGCGACCGCGCTAGAAAAGATACACAACCTTCCTGCAGGTCAAAGATTCAAAATGTGTGCTGCTACCGGCGTATTTTCATTTTTATTTTTCATATTTATTTTCGCACAGTAAATGCGCGCAAACAATATCACTTGCAACCACTACATATAATAATAATTATCCAAACGGTAGGATCAAAGAAGTAGTACAAAACACGAGGCGCTAAACTAGAGAAAGCTTTTCAGACTATTGGGGATGATCACTGGATAGAATTTGTTCATGACAAGACCTGCATTTTTTGAAGTGTAGAAATTGAAAAACGAATGTGGTGAGCAAAAGTATGTAATGAAATGCAATGAAAGAGTGAACTCTGAACATAACTACGCCGCGATACACAAGGGCTCCTGCTGAAGCTCCTCTATAACTTAAATACAGACGTCAGGTGTATCCAGGGGATGCTTACAACGACAATTAATTCAATTGGTTCATATCATGCGGTTTTCAGTATGACTGACGATATGAAGTTCACCCACACTGAGTAAACCCTGGAAAGACTCGACATAAGCTCCTGTCATGGCTTCTGCTCGTAGGAGCAAGGTCAAGCGCCACGTTGGGCCGACGCTAACCGGCACGAACGTTCCAACTACTGTTTAATTTAGTAATGCTCGGCACCCTTCCATCACAGAAAACCAAGAGAAACTTTTGAAGAGCCAGCGACAGAGAAATAGAGCGAGGGATCTTCGGAAATTTGTTGATTTCACATCTTCTGAATGAGTATGATGGGGCCCTGCGGTGATGCGCATGCATAATTCATAGAATGCCTTCATTTGGGTATATAATTGGATCTGTCATTTGATGAACAACTAATAAATAACGATGTTTGGTTAGTGTGGTTCGAGACCATCACTCACTATGTTGGCTTTTCGAAGAGCGCTTGATATTCTAGCCGAAGCTGTTTCAGCCATGAGATCAAAGGTGAGCTCCAACCAAATATCCATTATTTTTTGGAATGAGTGCATTATTCCATGCCTAGTAATACACAGTTATTGGAGAACTTCCAATGGGTGCATCATGACTGCCTTTTCGAGTGTTCAGCAGCTCTATGGAGCAATTCCGGTATTTTGTCAATGTGGTGGAGTGTCAATCGGCGGCACGTACCATACACACCCACAATTCTGGAGTCAAATTCCAAATCGAGAACCGTCCCTGCCAGCCAAGCCTTCCATGGTCAACTTACTGCTCCCAAACTCCTCAAAGAGGATCACACTGATTTGCACACTTACTGGCTCCAGAAACTGACAGTACAAGGTCAAATCGCCTTTAAAGGCAAGATTCGGGATAAAATAATGTGGAAAAGCGTAAAAGCGTTCAGTTATGAAGCTAGAGGTGGGAGGTGGTCTGGAAAAGAGAAGGAAAGCAAACGAAACCACCGATTACGCCCCGTACAGAGACCTCCCCTATTTCAGCCGCATTCCACCTTGGGATAGAGAAGGGGCGCGTTGGACGAGTTTCACGAACCTAACTCTAGTTGCTCCAGTGCCAATGAATTGGGTCGCAATGGGACCGCTCTCCCAAACAGGGTCAGTCCTATCGTTGTTACTTTTTCAAAAATTTTTACGACCCCCCTCCCCCAAGGTGGACTTTGATACGACCCCCTTTTCCACACCTCGACCACCATCATTCCTCTCTATAGTATTTATTCTGATACACTCAACGGGCGGAAGTGGTGTAGTGACAAGTGGCGCGCTCACCACGCGAGCGGTCCGGGGATCAAATCCTGGGTCGTGAGTCGCCCGGGCCAACCAAGCCTTCCATCCCTCCGGGGTCGGTTAATTGGTACCAGACTTGTCTGGGAGGATAAAAACACTGACTTGAACATCGGCTGGCCCCGCAAGTCATTGTATAGGCCACATCGCATTCAAACGCCACTGCGAATGTACAAATGGAAGTAGAATGCGTGCCGCATCCCAAAAAGGGATTGATCAACGGCAAATGCTTTATCCTTTATCCTTTTATCAACCCACCAAAGCCCGACCCACTTTTTCCCGTCAAAAATGCCGTCGAGCGGGGGGTGGGTACATAACTATAATCCCACGGCTTCATTTTCTAAGGGGGAGGGGCGGGTATATACGCACGCTCAAACGGCGAATTTTTCTCTCCCAACTCACCTAGCCTACTACTCGTGAAAACTCCAACTTTCACCACAACCTCACATGTACTTTCACGCGACTGAAGCGGTCGACCCCGTTTATATGATCAACAGGACGACCCCGTTAATAATAAATTATACGATTGACCACTGCCAAATGCGCCCGCGCTTTTCAAGCAGCGCCACGTGGCAACCGACAGCGGAGGGTGGGGCTTGCGGACGAAGGTGTGAGCTCGCTTTTGTCGCGCACTTTCAAGCCGCAAAAGGGGCGCGACATCAACGCTTGTCCGCCTGTCCTACTACCCCGGGATGGAACAGGCGAGCGCACCTAATCCAGGAGCGTGCCTTTAAATGCCACTGCCGTTGTGCATAGAACTGACATGCGCAGCGCAGCGCACCAAAGAGGGGGTTTGATTAACGTTTGATGCTCTAGCCTTTGAAAACTTGAAACCCTAATATTGGCTTAGTGTTTTCGCCAGAAAGGTTTTTTTCTGCATTATTTTGCTTCTCAACTGCATTATGTCATTTGAAAGAGAAAAAAAAAGATTTTGAAAAAAGAAAAAGTTTTTGTGGACAACTTTGATAGCAACTGTAAGAAGTACACCTGCGCCGCGCTTTTGGTTTGCGATCTGGTCCGTTTAAACTCGCAACTATTAGGCCGATTCACAACTATGTAGGAGGGCTCTTTCGCCGTTCCCTTTGAAATTTGAGAGTTGATGATTTTTGCAAAAAAAAAACAAGCTTCTCCATTTTTTATAAATTGGCCCTTGGAAGCTTTTTATTGATAAATGGAGAAAGTTTATCTTCGTGAAGAGATGGCAAAAGAAGTTTTCACAAGGCACGTTCC